CTCAAGGGGGTCCCGTATAATTGGTGAGAAGATCGTCGGGAGCGTTTCAATACTTTCGCGGAATTGCGTGACGCTTTTCTCACAAGTTTTTCGAGTCCAATCGACACACCGCGATTGCCGCGCGATTGTCGACATCGTTAACAGAACGCAAGGGTCTCTTGAGCGTGGCGCGAATTATTTAGATGCAGCCCGCTTAATGTGGCGACTCTCTAATAATACTAATTTCTCAGAAGCTGCTCGTCTCGACATCGCGTACAATCATTTGCGACCCGAGTACCACCCGATAACTCATCGCAATGAGTTCAGTACGTTTGATGACCTCGAGAGTCTGGTGTTAGATTTTTATTGGAGACACAGTCGTACATCGCTGAAACCGCCTCCAGATCCGACTGAGACAATCTACCTTCATTGCGCGTATGTTCCATCGCGCTACGCGAAGAAAGGAGTCAAAGCAACCGTAGAGCAAGTAAACGAGTTCAGTGGGAGTACCGGGCCTCACAAGTCCGTTGAAATTACTGTAGACGCGAAGAAGTCTGAGCAGAAAGCTAAGTCTCGGCGACCTTCTAGTCAGAAAACCCCCACTGTATCTCAGACTACCACGATTGAGACCCCTGCTTCGCCAGCACGAGCATATTCCGCAGTAGCGAAGGCCGCAAAACCGGGGGTTACAATTTCAGCTGGTAGACGGACGTCTCTAGTCACTACTCCTAAGTCTGGTTCAGCGTCGGCGGGTTCGATGCCTGCTAAGATGAATGACTTCTGTCACAATTGTCAGAAGTCCGATCACAAACGCGCGACTTGTAAACAGCCGCAGACCGAAATTTACTGTTACGTGTGTGGAATGAGGGGTGTGGAAGCGCTCGTATATACCAATCACACCGCTAAATGAAGGTCAGGGGAAAACGCGAAGAGAGGGCAGCAATAACGGGTTCGGCGCTGTCTCTCAAGGTTTCAAGGACCCAACTTCCTCGTAAACCGCGCATTTCAAAACTTGCCTCCTCTAATATGACGTCGGCTAGGTCCCCTGATCACGGTTCATAATAACCGCGGGACGCGGTTGTCTTCCAATCCGAGGAACGGAGGGGCGCGTCAAGTGAAAGTGCTCCTGGAGGCCGGAAATATTCACCGGACACAGAGTGACAGGAACAACCCAATTATTATGGTGAAAAAGGCCCATGGGAAATGGCGTTTATGTCGTGATTTCCGCTGGTTAAATAAGTTGACGAAAAAAGACGCGTACCCAATACCAAACTTGGTGGGAATCCTGGATGAATTGCGTTCTGCGCGTTAAATTACGACTTTGGATTTGAAGCAAGCGTACCATAAAGTGCCGTTAGACCCTGAAATATACAAGTTAACCGCGTTTTCTGTTCCGGATCTTGGCACGTTTGAATTTGTGGAGATGCCTTTTGGTTTAACCAATGCTCCCGAGACCTTTCAGCGTATCGATTTGGGGTCAAAAGAGTCCAGAAAAAATTGATCCCCCCCCCCCCCCTGCACCGTTCGTGAAGGAAAAAAACTCCCCCCCTCGCACCATTCCCAATTCGATTTAAGGTCAGAACTGGTAAGGAAGATTGCCCCACCCTCCTTGGACTTCCCAGAATGCGATTAAGGGTAAGACGGATCAGGAAAAATACCTCCTTCCCCTCATCATTCCCAATTTAGTCAAGGGTCAGAAAAAAAGTTTAGAAGGGTCAGGAAAAAATTTCCACCACTCCCCTTCGACACCTAACAATGTGATTGAGGGTCAGAAGTGTCAGGAAAAATTCCCCACCCCCTCGCAGGCGTGGCAATTCGATGAAGGGTCCGAAGAATTAGGTAAAATTCCCTCCCCTCCCCTTGGACACCCCATAATGCAATTACGAGTGACAAGGATCAGGAAAAAATCCCCTCTCCTTCGCACCCACATCAAAGAACCAAAAATTCAACCCTCCCCGTGCGCCCTTTGAGAATGACACATCAAACATCAATTGTTTGATTAATCATTAAAAAATTAATTAAAAAACCGGCCGATGCTATCCCACTGTCGAGTCATTCGGCAGTCTCCCCGTGCGTCCTTTGAGAATGACACATCAAACATCAATTGTTTGATTAATCATTAAAAAATTAATTAAAAAACCGGCCGATGCTATCCCACTGTCGAGTCATTCGGCAGTCTCCCCGTGCGTCCTTTGAGAATGACACATCAAACATCAATTGTTTGATTAATCATTAAAAAATTAATTAAAAAACCGGCCGATGCTATCCCACTGTCGAGTCATTCGGCAGTCTCCCCGTGCGTCCTTTGAGAATGACACATCAAACATCAATTGTTTGATTAATCATTAAAAAATTAATTAAAAAACCGGCCGATGCTATCCCACTGTCGAGTCATTCGGCAGTCTCCCCGTGCGTCCTTTGAGAATGACACATCAAACATCAATTGTTTGATTAATCATTAAAAAATTAATTAAAAAACCGGCCGATGCTATCCCACTGTCGAGTCATTCGGCAGTCTCCCCGTGCGTCCTTTGAGAATGACACATCAAACATCAATTGTTTGATTAATCATTAAAAAATTAATTAAAAAACCGGCCGATGCTATCCCACTGTCGAGTCATTCGGCAGGCGGCTGGCCTGCGACTGCTGCTGTGCTGCTGACTTGACCGACCTACTCGGTAATTCGGCGCTGCCGCCATCTCGCGGAATCTCCCCCACACGACGTTCTAGTGGCATTAAGTGCACTAGCAGTAATTTCTTCAAATTCATCAAAAAAACTCAATTAATGAGTGATAACTGACACTAATTTTCTGATAATTAACTTCCCAATCATTATTCTACTTTATTTTGATTATTTTCATGCTTTTTATATCCAAAAATGCACATCTACACATATCTACGGAACATCTACGCTATACTGTAGATGCCAGATCGCCAGGGCTACACAGAGTAAAAAAATGGATTAGCTTTCGAAACTAGTTTCTAGATTTTAGAAACTCCTGTTCTTAAACTTTATCCTTAGTAGAATCATAAAAACTAACGAATTTGGGGATTGCTTTCAAGAAAAATTAATTTTTGAAAATTTTCTCATTGAACTAAAAAATTACGGCCGAGGTATTTGAAGGGAATTTTTTAGGGGGAGGGGGCTTAATCAATTCAGAAGAGAGGTTTATATGGACGATTTTATTTATGAGAGACGGGCTCGTGTATAGGGAGTTTATATAAGGGGGGTCTTATACAGGGTGACAAATGGGAATAGGTGAAAATTAAACTATCATAGTTTTGTTGATTGATGTAGGAAAGGAAGGACCATCATGTTTGTAGACACAATAGACTTTGCAAATTTATTTGCAATTAGTTAGAGTTGCATCTCATTTTTTTTTAAATAAAAATTCACACTCTATCAGAATTTGCGCAATAGTCAAGACGTTTCTGAAAACTATGGACGACTTCTTCAATTTTAGCTTGAGAAATATTCGAAACACCCTTCTGGATAGCGCTTATCAAAGCCTTTTTTGTCTGAGGAGTGTCCACGTAACAGAAGCCTTTGAGATAACCCCACAAGAAGAAATCACACGGGTTCAAATCTGGGGAGTATGGTAGCCATTCCATCCCTGCTCGGGCGAAGCGAAGATACCCTAGGCCGATGACGCGATCACCATATACTTTGTGCAATGCAGCAAACACATCATTAGTTCGATGAGGTGTTGCACCGTCTTGCATAAAATGGAAATCTTTCACCAATCTTTTTTTCATAGCGAATGGGAAAAATTTGGTTTCCAACGTCTCTCGACAACTCTCTTCTCTGTAATGGTCCCTTTCAAGATTTCCATATATATTTGTTTGATTGACAGAGCTGCCCAAACTGTAACTTTAATAGGGTTTTTGGAGCGGTTTTGCTGCTGATGAATATGGATTTTCACTCCCCCAAAATCGATAATTTTGTTTATTCACGTAGCCATTAAGGTAGAAATGAGCTTCATCCGTGAAAATAATTCGATTGGCTTCGATTTCCGCATTTTCAAACATTTGCGTCAAAACTTTGCTGAATTCAAGTCGTTTCCCTATAGCAGCTCACGTAAGCAATTGGTGGGAAGTGATTTTATAAGGATGAAGTTGGTGGAAATGTTTAATTATCAAACGTAGGGTCTCTCGGTTCAATTCTAACTTCGCGGCCGCATTGCGTATTGAATTGATTAATTGATTATTTATTGCTTCTTGAGAGAATTTTTACGTTTCTCCCTTATAGCAAGGGGTGCGCACATAGGTACACTGGTAATTGTAACAATGAATAGTAGTAATAATAATTATAAAAGTATGATGAGAAGAATGATATAACTTGACAGAAGTAAAAACGTGAGAACAAGATTAATGGGTCCCAATGAGGTGACAGTTTGACCAATTCCAAGACTAGCAGTACATGCATGGAGATTTCCCCAGTATTGATAAGCTGGACATAGTGAGCTCGTGGCATGAATGAGGTGGGGTCCTGTGGCCAGCACAGGGAATCCCAGTCTAAAACAATAAGCAGAAGCAGAGCAAATAATTGTAAAAATGTGTGGGATACATTATTGTATTTTCGTGCTATAACCTTTGGGATAGGTGGATCAGGATGGGTCGGCTGGCTGTAAGACAGGGCAGGTTTGAGGTGGGACTGGAGCAGTAGGTAGGGTGGTTTTCAGCTTCAAGGCGTCTTGTACATAAAGGAAGAGATTCCAGAGGTGTTCAGGGGTGAAGGTGGAGAGGAGCTTCAGCATATGAATGCACGGAGGGAATGGTTTCCGGAAGCTGCTGAGGTGTCTATCTCTGATGGAGTTATACGTTGGGCATCTCAGCAGAACATGCTCTATCGTCTCAGGATCTCCACTCCTACATGCGGTGCAGGATTTGGTGGGGGTCATGAAGAACGTTTGGCCATTCATAGAAAGTCTGCATACGTAGACGTTCGCTAATCTGAGCTGAATCATCAATCTGGTGATGTTTATATTGTTTCTGAAATGTACGTAGTGGACAGCTGGGTCTCAGAGACATCGGATGTGCTGTGTTTGGATTGAAGAGGAGCATAGGTAGCGATCGAAGTCCTCACTTCTACATCGAGCAGAGATAGCATCGAGGAAGTCGTGTTTCCGTGCTAGCCAGAAGACAGGGTCCGTGTTGTCGAACATAGACTCAAGGCCAACTGATGAGAAAATCTGATCAAGTTTTGCCACCCAGTTGTACTCGGGTCTACAGGCTGGACTCCTTGCCAACTTGATTACCTCCACCAGCCATATTCGAGGCCAACGGTTGGGACTCATCGTCAGCATCTTGATTGTCCAATCCCAGATAAGTCCTAAGGCTCGGGCTGCTAGGGGGAGGAGATCCAGCTCGAGTCTGATGAGGTAGCCAGGGATGTCATTAGGTAACAGAAAAATTTGTCTATAGAAGTCGGTTTGGATTTTTTCTATCGCGTCTAGCTTCCCAGGTCCCCAGACTTGTACTCCATATAGTAGGGTTGAGGCTACCAGGCTATCAAAGATCCTGATTCTGTAGTCAACGTCGTCTGCTCTTGCTCTCCTCAGGATAGAGCTGGCAGCTCTAATGGCTGATTTAGCCCTCTGGATGGCACTCTTTACCGGTGCATCACCCTGCATCGCGTAGTCTACTGGAGTGCCAAGATAGGTGTATTCTTTGACAGTTTTCACTGGTTGGCCCTTGTAGTAAAAGGCTTCCTTTTCAAACTTCCTGATTCTTCCACTGGTTCTGCAGACCAGGATCTCTGTTTTGCCAGTGTGTACAGTCAAACTGTTTTGAACGAAGTAATCCGCGAGAATTCTCAGGCAGAACTGGGCTTCTTGGTATGAACGGGCAAAGATTATTGTATCGTCTGCATATAAAAGGGTTCTCAGGTTTTTTCCCCCAATGTCTAGGCCTTGCACGGTATTTTGTTCCTGGAAGGACATGTCAGCAACATATGCAATGAACAACGTTCTCCATAGTCTACGGTGCGGTACACTATCGAATGCACGTTTGAAATCTACGAAATCTAGCCTGCTCTTCGCGTAAGATCCTGCACGATTCCAGCCAAGTATCTAGACGAGTTTGAAGAATCCCAGTGAGTAGCTTCAAGATATTGTTGAGTAAAGCAATGCCTCGATGACCGTTCCCTGGGTTATCCGGATCACCTTTTTGCTTTTTGTAAAGCATCGAAACTGCTGCTGTAGGCCAGTCTTCAGGAACATTCTTTTCCATCCATGTTTTATTTAGAAGGTCCCGCAGAAATTCCACCCAAGCGATGGGCATGTTCTTCAAGAATTCATTGGCAATTCCATCAGGACCATGAGTTTTTCCATTCTTTGCATGTTTGAGGGCCAGTTTCACTTCTTGCATCACTTCTTGATGGCTTGGTCTCAGTATGGGTGCCGGGCATCACATAGTGAAGAGACATCCTCAACTCTGGGTGGGTAGACTGCATCATAAAACTATTCCCATTTCTCTTTGCCGATTCTATTCGGAGTGAAGTTGTTCGGGCGTAGTGATTTGACTGTAGCCCAAAACTCGATAGAGTTTTTTATGCGGCCACTCTGTTCTTTATGAGTTTCGCATAAGACCGGATTTTGGATCTTCTGCAATTCCGATGTTTACTGGCAATGTGATGATAGGCAGTCACCGCCTGCTGGCTGTATCGACTTTTCCTGAGAAACTTCTGGGCTCTGTGTAAACTTTTTTTCACCATTTTGTATTCCTCATCTTCCCATTTCCTGCGACATGGAGTGAGGCCTAGAGGTTGCTATCGTTTATTTAATGCTGTCATCCCAGCAAGGGCGGCAGAGTCAGATACAGCCAAGCATGATGTCTTATATAAGGTCGAGGAGTCTAGCTGCATGACAGGAGATTCTGGCTTCGGGGAGTTCTTCACGTATTGGATATGAATATCCTTCAGTTCATCCTTCCACTTCAATATTGTCGTCGTAGAAGTCCGGTGGATGTTGAGTTGAAGCTTAGGGGAATGAATGACATTATGGAGTTCCAGACACACACGGAAATGATCAGAGTGAAATGAGGACTCACCGATTTTGAGGGACTTTGCCTTCTGGATGGCAGCTGAGTTGCCCTATACCAGATCCACTTCACTAAGTCTTTAAGGTCCACAGAAAGTGAAGCCTCCGTCGAAATCCCCTGGAGTCCTGCCCTTCAACAGGATGAATTCGTTCTCTTGCATGGAGTCCAGCAGGAGCTGGTTCCTGATTTTGTGCGAGGGGTCACCTTTGTCCATTGAATCCCTAGAGGACGAAAAAACAGAGCCAGCAATCAGTTCCTCCGGGATGGAAATGTCGAGGTTGGCTATGCGACAGTTGAAATCCTCAGCTAAGAACATTGGAACTCCGCGGTAGGAGTCCTGACATGAAGTGATGACTGGTTGGAGTGACTCAAGAGCAGCGAATATATTGGCTTCGTTCGGGAAATATATAAAACCAATGATGATATGGCCTGTAGGTAGCTCCAGACGAGTGAATATCCACCATTTCGATGAGGATAATAGAGTGCATTTGACGGGCTTCTTCACCAGGACGATAAGCCCGCCACAACCTCTACCCATACCTGTTTCTCTTGATGCTTCCACCCAAAAGGATTCGTAGTTGTCAGTCCAAGAGACTAGTCTAAAGGGGGAGGGAGGGGGGTAGCGTAGCCACGTTTCACTGAAGCCAATGAAGACAGGTGGTAATTCTGTTATTTGCAGACTGTTAATTCCAGAAGATGAACTCATGGCTAGCATGGTCATTGTAGGCTGATTTTTTGGATTTGCTGGGGCACCTGACCCCCGTTGGTCTCTGTTGGAGTGGTTGAAAACCTCTTTTTCTACAAGTTTACTCTCCTTGTGGTCCCAGGTTATCACTGAGTTTTCTAGAATGATTCTATTCCCTCTTATCCTCATCTGTCTACCCTTAGCCCTTTCCTCTTTCTTTACTTTACCGTAAAGACATGAGGTCTACCGGTAGGTATACCGGTAACCGTTGGCACCTTTGCCACGGTCGCCATCTTTTTTTTGTATGCGTCATCGAGTGCAAAAAAATATGTGTTTTCACCGCTAGGCACGAGAAATATTCGTGCTCCATTCAGAGACGGACTGCGACCTGCCTATCGACCTGATGTGCCTAAAGACCATAATCATAGCACTCGGATCATCTCAAAAAATCATGTGCTCGACAATGACCGATATCAATAAATCCGTGCTTGAGTTTGCTTTATCATAAACACATCAGGTATACTGGTAACCGTTGGCACCTCTGCCACGGTGGCCATATTTTTTTTTGCATGCGTCACTTAGTGTAAAAAATATGTATTTTCACCTCCAGGCACGAGAAATATTCGTGCTCCATTCGCAGACGGACTGCGACCTGCCTATCGACCTGATGTACGTGAAGACCATAGTCATAACGCTTGGATTGACTCAAAAAATCATGTGCTCCATAATGAGCGAGGTCAATAAATCCGTGCTTGAGTTTGCTTTATCATAAAGAAATCAGGTATACCGGTGACAGTTGACACCTTCGCCATGGTCGCCATCTTTTTTTTTTGCATGCATCATTTAGTGTAAAATAATATGTTTTCACCTCCAGGCACGAGAAATATTTATGCTCCATTCGGAGACGGACTGCGACGTGCCTATCGACCTGATGTACCTAAAAACAATAATTATATCACTTGGATCGATTCAAAAAATCGTGTGCTCCAAAATGAGCGGGGTGAATAAATCCCTGCCTGAAATTACTTTGTCGTGAAGAGATCAGGAATACCGGTAACAGTCGATACCTTTGCAACGGTCACCACCTTTTTTTTGCATGCGTCGTTGTGTGCAAAAAATGTGCTTTTACGTCCAGGCCCTAGAAATATTCGTGTAAGGGAAAACGTATTTACATTAAGATGGAGAATGAAGTTCCAGCTGATGATGTCGGCGATTCTCTTAGGAATTGCTTTTAAGAAGGAATGAAGAGTAATGCTATCTATTTCTGAAATTCCGGAGCTCGCCATCGATCCATTATTGATTTCCGATGATTTCAAAAACGATGAGGAACCAGGGGAATTAGAGGGCTGGAGCAGAAAACATT